TACGTACTGGTGTCCCCAGGGATCAGGATTGGGCCCAGGAGGGTGAGAATGGTGCCCATTCCCTCTGGTCACTACTGGTGTCCCCAGGGATCAGGATTGGGCCCAGGAGGGTGAGAATGGTGCCCATTCCCTCTGGTCACTACTGGTGTCCCCAGGGATCAGGATTGGGCCCAGGAGGGTGAGAATGGTGCCCATTCCCTCTGGTCACTACTGGTGTCCCCCAGGGATCAGGATTGGGCCCAGGGGGGTGGGAATGGTGCCCATCCAGCTGCCCCCTCTGAGAACAGGCTGAGGGAGTTGGGGCTGTTCAGCCTGGAGAAGAGAAGGTTGTGGGGAGACCTCAGAGCAACTTTTCTCTATCTGAAGGACCTACAAGGAGCCAGAGAGGGACTCTATGTTAGGAACTGCAGTGGATAGGACAAGAGGTAATGGGTTCAAACTGAAGCAAGGGAAGTTTAGGTTAGATCTTAGGCAGAAGTTTTCCCCTGTGAGGGTGGTGAGACACTGGCACAGGTTGCCCAGGGAGGCTGTGGCTGCCCCAACCCTGGCAGTGTTCACAGCCAGGGTGGATGAGCCTTGAGCAACCTGCTCTGGTGGGAGGTGTCCCTGCCCAGGGCAGGGGTTGGGGCTGGTGATCTCTGAGGTCCATACCAACCCCTAAAATTCTATGATTCTTCCTGTGTGCTCAGTGTCCATGTGCACACATGAGCAGCTCCTCTGTTTGTCACCCTTTCTCCCACCAGACTTACTCTTTCTCCCCTTAAACCCACATCTTCACACACTTTGCCTGAGCACCTCACTGAACACCTTACCTACACCGTGCACCTCACCAAGCACCTGAGGCCTCTTCTCCAGTTTGGAGCAGTGTTTTGGTAGATGCTGAGTAAACACTCCATGCTCAAACCTTAGAGCAGCTGCTGTTAGTCAGGCTCAGTCCTTTCTTTGGCCTAAATATCAGATCAGAAAGGTAAATCAGTAGAGGCTGAGGAATGTTTCAAAGGGGGATGTTCTGTCCTACACCGACTGCTTGGCACTGACATGTTTCCTTGTTCTGGCATGACTTGTAGTATAGGGTTGGAACACTTGTGGTTGAACTTGATGACTCTATGATGACCTTAGAGGTCTCCTCCAGCCTTGATCATTCTGTGTTTCCTTTCATGGTTTCCTGGACTAGACTTGGAGTAGGATGAACTTCCTTTCTGTCTCTTGCTTGTCAGTTCACGATTCCCAAACCTCACTCAGTTTACAGCTCCAGACACGTTCCCTAGCAAAAGGAGTCTGCATGGGTGGTATCACACCAGGCACAGGGAACCTCTGTGTGATCCTGTGCTGACTGTGCTCTATTGCTGTTTGCAGTTACACCAAAGGTGTGGACATGTGGAGCATTGGCTGCATTCTGGGAGAGATGCTGCTCGGGAAGCCTCTTTTCCCTGGGACTTCTACAATGAACCAAATAGAGCAGATCCTAAGAGTGATCCCTGCCCCATCCCCAGCAGGTGGGAAAGGGGATGAAGGAGCTGGGCCAGGGGAGGAGGGATCTCCTGTGGGTCACTCTGGCACCTTCCCAAGGAAATCAAAGGCTCATTGTGAGTGTTAGTGTTGGAGGGAAGTAAGGAAATCAGATCTTGGTGATCTGTGGTGCTTGTGACCTGTGGGTGTGAGGGCAAGTTCATGGAGTCTGTGATGGATTAACAAATGGGAGTCAGAAAATCAGCTTAGGAAAAGTGTGAGCAAATATTCCATAGGTCTCCCATTTTGTTTTATGAGGATTACTTCCTCTGTTGATGTCACATATTTGCTTTCCTTGGTAAACTGTGACCCTCATTAACAGCCTCATCTTGTTGCAGACATTTCAGCTCTGCAGTCAGAGTACAAAGCCTCAGTCATCAACCACATGAGCTCCCGGTAAGCCTGAGGTGTTGGTGTGTCTCAGACCATCTGCTGGTGACCATGGAATCATGGAATCACAGGATGGGTTGGGTTGGAGGGACCTTAGAGCTCATCCCATTCCACCCCTGCCCTGGGCAGGGACACCTCCCACCAGCCCAGGTGGCTCCAACCCCATCCAACCTGGCCTGGAACACTCCCAGGGATGGAGCAGCCACAGCTGCTCTGGGAATTCCATCCCAGCCCCTCACCACCCTGACAGGGAGGAATTCCTGCCCAATATCCCATCTGTCCCTGCCCTCTGGCAGTGGGAAGCCATTCCCTGTGTCCTGTCCCTCCATCCCTTGTCCCAAATCCCTCTGCACCTCTTCTGGAGCCCCTCTGGGGACCGTGTTGCTCTGTCATATCTCCCTCTTGAGGCTGTGTATGATTTGCCTTAAGTTCACAGTTATATTTAGGATTTCAAAATGCAAACTCAGATTTTTAAACATCTCAAACGCCACAGAAAAGTGTTTCTGTGGTCCCATGTCTGGATCTGTGGGATCATGGGGTTGGAATGAGATGAGCTCTGAGGTCCCTTCCCACCCAAACCACTCCAGAATCCAGTGGTTACCCCACACTCTGAGTAAGCTCTGGGCTCAGGTGTGGTCCCAGTTCTGTCCTCCCTCCCTCCCTGGGGTTGGGCACTGGGAGCTCAGGTCACTGTTTTCCAGGCAGCAAGTGACATTCAAAGAGCTTTTCCCACCCTCTACTCCACCTCCTGCCTTGGACCTACTGAAGAAGCTCTTGGTGTTTAACCCTGCGAAGCGACTCACAGCAGAGGAGGCTCTGCAGCATCCTTATGTCAGCAGGTGAGAGTGGCACCAGGGTGCAGCCTCCCCTGGTCCCTTCTGGGGTGTTCCACACCTGCTCTGTCTACATCCAGTTCTGTCTGGGCCCAGTGCTCGTTAACGTCTTTGCTGATGATTTGGATGAGGGG